CCATGTATAGCCATGTATTACCATGTATTACCATGTATTACCATGTATTGCCATGTATTACCATGTATAGCCATGTATAGCCATGTATACCCATGTAATACCATGTATTGCTATGTATTACCATGTATCACTATGTATTACCATGTATAGCCATGTAGAGCCATGTATACCCCTGTAATGCCATGTATTGCCATGTATTAAAATGTATAGCCATGTATAGCCATGCATAGACATGTATAGACATGTAATGCCATATATTGCGATGTACTACTATGTATAGCCATTTTTACCCATGTAATGCCATGTATAGCCATGTATTACTATGTATTACTATGTATTACCATGTATCGCCATGTATTACCATGTATAGCCATGTATAGCCATGTATACTCATGTATTACCATGTATACTCATGTATAACCATGTATTGCCATCTATTAATTACCATGTATTGCTATGTATTACCATGTATCACCATGTATTACCATGTATAGCCATGTATACCCATGTATACCCATGTAAGGCCATGTATTACCATGTATTACCATGTATAGCCGTGTATTGCCATGTATTACCATGCATACCAATGTATTACCATGTATACTCATGTATAGCCATGTATTGCCATGTATTACCATGTATTGCTATGTATTACCATGTATCACTATGTCTTACCATGTATAGCCATGTATAGCCATGTATACCCATGTATAACCATGTACTGCCATGTATTACCATGTATAGCCATGTATACCCATGTAATGACATGTATAGCCATGTATTACTATGTATTACTATATATATCCCATGTATCGCCATGTATTACCATGTATAGCCATGTATAGCCATGTATACTCATGTAAAGTCATGTATTACTATGTATAGCCATGTATAGTCATGTATTACCATGTATTACCATGTATTGCCATGTTTAGCCATGTATTACTATGTATTGCCATGTATAGCCTTGTATTACCATGTATTGCCATGTATTACCATGCATAGCCATGTTTACCATGTACAGGCATGGATAGCCATGTATAGCCATGGATAGCCATGTACAGCCACGCATTACCATGTATTACCATGTATTGCCATGCATAGCCATGTATTACTATGTATTACCATGTATTGCCATGTTTTACCATGTACAGCCATGTATTACCATGTATACCCATGTAATGCCATGTATTGCCATGTATTACCATGTATAGCCATGTATCACCATGTATTGCCATGTATTACCAAGTATTGCGATGTATTGCCATGTATTGCAATGTATTACCATGTCCTGCCATGTATTGCCATGTATTAACATGTATTGCCATGTATCGCCAGGTATTACCATGTATTACCATGTACTGCCATGTATAAGCATGTATTTCCACGTACTGCGATGTATTACCATGTATTACCATGTCTCACCATGTATTACTATAAATTACCATTTATTGCCATGTATTACCATATATCACCATGTATTGCCAAGTATTACCATGTATTGCCATGTATAACCATGTAATGCTACGTATAGCCATGTATAGCCATATAATGCCTTGTATAGCCATGTATTACGGTGTATTACAATGTTTTACCATGTATTACTATGTATTACCATGTATTGCCATGTATTATTATGTATCACCAGGTATTACCATGTATTATTGTGTATCACCATGTATTGCCATGTATTAC